AACAGGTAACTGTTAATCTTGGTGGTAGCTGTTATAGCTGGTAGCATAACACAGACCAGGGAACATCTTATACTTGTTAAACAGGTAACTGTTAATCTTGGTGGTAGCTGTTATAGATGGTAGCATAACACAGACCAGGGAACATCTTATACTTGTTAAACAGGTAACTGTTAATCTTGGTGGTAGCTGTTATAGATGGTAGCATAACACAGACCAGAGAATATCTGATACTTTCTAAACAAGTAACAGTGAGTTCTTTTGGCAGTAGAGTGCATTTTTTGAGATTAATAGATGAAGCCCTTTATTTGAGTACATTTTTTGGTTTTATTTGAATACCTGAAACTGTGACACCCTCGGTAGCCCACTAAGTCCTCTGTATTTAACTTCATCAGTTCTCAGACTGAATGATAAAAAATGGTTCGTAAATTTCCTTTTTTTTTGTAACTGTAAAATGTAATAAGAGGGAATCCTCAATAGTCACGGCACTTGAAATTCTTTTAGGCAGGATTAGAGTAAATTAATCTACGAGACCTTTTTGCCCTAAAATATTAGCTATATTTTTGTGTGCCAACAATACTAACTGTGGGGCATACATATACCCGATTCAATTTTATTACTCATCAGGATTTCTACGAGCCTACCCTCAAATTGAAATTCTTTTAGGCAGGATTAGAGTAAATATTAATCTATGAGACCTTGGGCGTGGTGAAATACATCATTCAAAAGGTTTGACCTCCTGAGTCCAAAACTGTAATTATATCTCAATTTGGTAAAGAGATGATGGAGCTATGAGCTAAAAGTTTGTACTCGATAAACAAAACTCAGAGTCGTTCTATGAGCCATTATGCCACTACTAATAAAAATCTGTCATGCTCCATCAAGAAGTCAAAAACTGAAGAATGATTCCTGTAAATTACTTATTAGCTTGAGAATATAAAGTACAATTCTCCATCATTTGCATTTAGTTCACTCAGTTAATGTTCTAATGAATAAAAATTTTGCTTTTGATTGAGGATTTTTGTTAATAATAAAATTATTTCAAATATGATATACAGCCCTTTTGATCTTCCCAAAGTTGCAATTTCTGGAGCTTTTGGTTCTTAACTCTTTATTGCTTTGTGTACTGCAGATAGAGTAGCATCAACTTTTCATGATTTAGTTCTTAGACAGTATTTATTTTATCATTTATTTATAAATAATATAAAATAAGCTGCAAGTATATTTTCTTTTCAGATTGGAGTAGAAAATATTGTAGTTTTCATCAATAAAGCTGATGCAGCAGACAAAGAAGTAATTGATCTAGTAGAGATGGAGCTTCGGGAATTGATGACAGAGATAGGGTTCAGTGGGGATACGATTCCTATTGTAGTGGGGTCAGCATTGTGTGCTTTAGAGGTAGGTGTGTTTCTAGTTGATACATCTGTGGTAAGATCTGTATTATGTTATGACTTCTGTAGATAATACAGTTGACTTATGGTGAACTGTATGATGTTTGTTTTTGATGTAACTGTACTGTAATTGATACAGATGAATATAGTGAGATCTATGTTATGTTCATTAGTTATGACTTCTCTAGATTACCAGCTGACTTACTGGTGATCTGTGATGTCTGATGTACATGTAACTGTCTTCTAGTTGAAACAAGTGAATTTGGTGAGATCTTATGTAATTTAGTTATAACTTCTGTAGAAGATCCAGCTGAGTTATGGTGAGGTCCATGATATCTGCTTTAGTTGTAACAGTCCTTTAGTTGATTCATAAATGTTATATTTGTTATGACTTCTGTAAATAACACAGCTGACTTTTGGTGAGATCCATGATGTTTACTCTAGATTTAAGTTTTTTATTTGATACAGATTAAATGTGTGGAATCTGTCATGCTCATTAGTTATAATATATCTAGATAATACAGCCAACTATTTCAACAGCAAATGGGAGGAACAGTATTGTTTTTTGTCAGTATTGAAAGAAAGTGTGTTTGTTTATTCTGCAATCCTAATATAGCAAGAAATAATGTCGAAAAGCATTTTCAAACTAATCAAAGAAACTCGCACTGATTTTATAATTGATTCTGCTGTTAAGAACAAAAAGTGAGGGGTTTAAAATCTAAACTTGTGTCTGAAAATTGATTTTTACCAAGTAAAAAAATGATTCAATTGCATCACTTGAGGTTGCTTCTGTACTTACAAAATAGAAAGAAAAAAAAACGTTTGAAGATGGAGAGTTCATGACAGAGGTATTGCTATCTGTTGCATTCTCTCTTTCTGAAGGTTTCAACAATAAGCCAGCAATCTTGTCATTGATAAAAGATTTAAAACTGTCTAGTAACACTGTAACAAGATGAATAAAGTCCAGTTCATGAATGGTGTCCGAAAATGTAAGTGGCTTTCATTACAGTCTGATGAGTCTCTGCTAATTATGTTAGTTAAATTGGTATTCAGCGATAACTCAGCAAAAGAAGGGTTATTAGAAAAATTCCTTTGAAGGATAGAACAAAAAGCAGAGATATTTACCAAGCATTCATACACTGTACTTCAGGAAACAACGTTTCCCTCCTAAAACTTGTGTCTGCAACTAAAGATAGAACCTGAAATGGTAAGCTGCAGAAATGGTTTTATTGAGGTCTGCATTATCCATTTGGAAATTCTATGTTCAAAATAGATTGATTTTTGACACATGATGGAGGAGGTAATTAAAGTATTGAATTCCATCTGTGTTTCAGCCCTGCAACATTGGATTTTAGTTCTTTTGGAATAACTTGATGCTGAATATAAAGATCTTATACTACACACTGATGTTAAATGGTCGAGTGAAGGAAAAGTTCTTGCAAGATTCCAAGAGCTCATGCCATAGATTAAGGAGTTTCTGGAGTCCAGAAATGCAATACAATCAACTGAATGACCAATTTTGGTTGATGGACTTGACATAGATTTAATTCTGAAACTAAAATTTTTAAACATGGAACTTCAGAGTAAAGATAACCATATTGCTGAAATGATTATTTCACCCAGTTCCTTCAAATGTAAGCTGAACTTGTATATATCTCACATGATGAATAAATCTATGTTACACTTTGAACCACATTGAAAAGCTTCAACAAGAATTCAGTCAAAGATTTCAAGAGTTTAATACAATTAACCTGTAGTTAAATTTCTTGTAAACTCATTCAGTACAGTTTACATCTCTGAAATTGGAGAACTTGAGCTTGAAATCATAAACATTCAAAGTGACATTAATTTCTAAACTCGTGCAATAGATGATAACTTTTAGATCCTTGTTGATATGTATCTTCTTCTAAAAAGTGCTAATTTGCAGACAAATTCTTGCTGGAGATCAACCTACCTCTGTGAATATGAAGTGTACTAAGTTGAAATAAAGATCCAGACTAATGGATTTACATCTTGATGATATAGTCCAGATTACAACGTGCTGGCAGAAGAAATGCAGTGTCAAAGTATCACACTAAGAAGAAAGACAGTGTTTTGTAGTACCTTTCATTGAACAAATTTTATAATTAATGAATAAGTAATACAGCTTTTTTTTTGTTCAGTTATACTCCTTTGTTTTGGTTTTGTACATGCCTATACTTGTTATAGTTTCTGCTAATTATTCATAATTTCTCACAGTAGCCCACCACTCAAAAAGAGTTGGAAACCACAGCATACGGGGAAAGCAGAGTTCCGTCTCAAGATGGATTTATGTCAACTGAAAAAAAATTAGATTGGTAAAATAAAAATTTGATAAACTATTGGACGAATGGATACTACAAATGTATGCTTACTTTAGAACATTCGTACGAACATTTACCGATATGCAACTCTGAAATATTGTAGACCAGCATGTATATATTAATAATATGGTTGATCAGATGTTCGATTTAGGTTTATATTCACTTTATTTTGTCTGTAATAGGCCTAAACTTGTGAGTAACTTAGCCTATAACAACGTAACTTAGTTGTAAGTCATAAAACTCAACAGTCTAAAGATGTCATCATGAGCATGGTAAGGTTAGATACTAAGGAGGCTTACCTGACTGCATGCTTAGTAAGCCTGTAAGGTCTTAATGCCAATAATACAGTTCTCTGAGCAGCAGGCTCCAGATAATAGTTCTGGTTGCATTTCAGAATGTAAAAGCTGTTCAGCTTCAAGGGGGCTTGGGCCTTTTGAGACACCAACCAGGGTATTGCCCCTGGACCACAGTGCCTGCAGCTCTGACCTCCCCTATCTTCTCCCTGAGTGTTTTCAGTCAATTTGACTTCTCTCTGATGCCATCTCTGTGCATAGAGAAGATTAATGTGATGAGATTTGTGTTACGTTCAATAATTACGACTTTTGTAGATAATACAGTTGACTTTTGGAGAAGTCCGTGTTGTAATTGCCCTGGATTTGATACATCTTATTCCAGTGTACTGTGAACGAATACTTCACTTACTGGAAATTTCAGTCTTTGTAATGTTTAGTTATGATTTTTGTAGGACAAGAATCCAGATATTGGCCGAGATGCTGTCTTAAAACTTTTAGATATTATTGATGAAAGTATCCCTAACCCAATCCGAGACTTGGATAAGCCTTTTATGCTGCCTTTGGAAAATGTCTACTCTATTCCAGGTATTATTAAAATAATTATTTATTCAATAGGTTACTAAAACCAACTTTTTGTTTCACTGGAAGTGTGCCTTAGATGTTGATTTGGTTTTGCACCATGTTGGACGAAAACTGAAGTTTTGTAATCTCCTAAGTCATTCCTTGTTTTCAAAACATTTACTATAGAATAGTAAACAAATGTGGAAACAAATAAGATTCAAGTAATTACTGTGAATAAAAACTAACATTTTGTGTACCTGATTTTACTTCTACAATATAGTAGGCTTTGTTTTGTTTCTGCCTCTGAAGGATAAACAGTAAGTTTATGGACTTCAATCATTGAAATCTGGAGTGCGATTCCCTACAGAGCACAGATAGCCCATTGTTTGGCTTCGTACTAAAATAAAAATGAATAAACAAGTTTGACTTCTATGATATAGTAAGCTTAACTTCACTTCTACCATATTATAGGTTTGGTTTCATTTTGATGAGTAACTTAGCAAATCAAATGCTTTATGAAATTTTGACTTAAAATACAACTTCAGAAGTGAGAAAGTTAATATGACATATTAAGTACTAGGATGAGTTATTAACATTTTAAATATAATACTGTTGCTAAAAACTTGTGGTTAAGACCTCTACTATTGAGACGTATTAATTATATGGTATAGCAAAAGGTAATTTATATACAAAGATATTAAAAATTGTTTGATTTTCTAGGTCGTGGAACGGTTGTGACTGGCCGTTTAGAACGAGGAATTATCAAAAAAGGAATGGAATGTGAAATTATTGGCTACAACAATTACTTCAAATCGACAATAACAGGTACTGGTAGCTCTGTGTCTGGTAATGTGATTGGTATATCTATTTATGGAATAACTTGAACACCCATTTCGTTCACTAGGTGTTAGAGGTTTGTGGTAGGTGAACAGATATGTCATGGAAGTAACTTGTGGTACATGTGACTGGTGTCACTTTTTCAGAAGAGGTACTTCTTATGTTTACTGTTGTCTTGGATACATAACGGATTTTGCCACTGATCTTTGTGTTCATTACAGCTTAATTGTTAATGTAAATGTGCTTTGTTTTTGTGTTAGCTGTTGCCTTTAAGATATTTTTCTGTTTATCATTGCTGTATAAATCAAATTCTCTTTCTCTGAAGAAAGGTTAAAAATACAATTGAAAAATATACTACACACTGTTTTCCCTTGACTTTATATAAGCTCATGAAGAAACAATGAAGTTGTTTAGCTTATGACAAAACTGTGGTTATTGGTTTCATTTACTTTAGTTAACCCTTTTTATACAGGTCACAGGTAAAAGGCCATGTCGTCTCGTTTGTTGACTCACATTCAAAATTTTATTGAACTACTATTTCATGAATTTATGTCAATAAGTTTGGTATCAAACTGTAGATTATAATTCAAATTTTAGAACTCTACATTACTCAGTTTTTTAGTTTAAAAGTATATATATATATATTAAAAACACAGATGAACATTGATTTTTGTGTGTCGCGCGTGTTATATTGAATGCAGCACTGGTTCAAATTAGATGTTTGTGAAGTCAAAATACAAAGTCTATAGTTTCATATGAATTAGAAACTCAAATTACTGATATTGACAAGCTAAAATAGAAAATAAGAAGTTATTATCTTTTCTGTTTGCTAAGATGTTGCTCACGTAATAAATTAAACACAATGGCACCTTACCCACCTCTTTCCATTTTTGAAAATGCTCCCTTATATACATGTACTTCTATATATGACATGAATAACCAATCAGAAGCTCAGAATGTCCCCCTAGTGGTTTTCTCAGCCTTTCTAACATTCCTTCCACCATTTGTTTCTTTTGAACTAAGATTTCAATGAGGTAGATTGTGTTTTTAGTCTGCTCGAAATTTCATTTTTTAGACCCAAATAAAGATTAGTTACTAAGGTTGATAAATTATAGTAGAATTAAATGGTATTGATGTAGTAATTATGATTTTTTAGTTAATCAAATGTATATATAAAAGGAAAAAAAATATTTTTTCATATCCTCCACATGCAAATTTTTTATAGGCTTAGCAACCTACGTCAAGCAGCAACTGAGTACAAAGGTCATAACTAGAAGAGATAATTGTTTGCTTTACATCTTTATTTACTGTTCTATGTTTTAGGAAAAATAACTAAGAACTTAGTTCAAAATAGCAATAATCTATATACATATATTGTGTATAATAATTGAAATGTGACTGTATTTTACAAAATACTAGTCGACTAAAACACAGCCAAGAAAAGTTACTTTGTGCAGACTGAAGATCACCTTTATGTTATTTGATACGGTAACATGAGTGCACGTAAGCCGTGTCACTGTAACTTCTGTATTGTTAGCCAGGTGAAAGGTCAATGTAAAAAAATAAATAAATATATATATATAAATGTATAATCTTATGAGATTTAAGCTATTTCATCTAAACATTTATGTTTTCATGTTATAATTTGTGTTCATTCTAGAATAAAAGATGCATAATTTGTTTATTTCTTAATTTTTTATGGTGGATGCGAGATCGGTCAAATTTACCAAATTCGTACGGAGATTAATTACTGAAAATAACAGATAAAATGTAAAAGTTTTTTCTTAAGAAACATTTGATAACTATCTGGACTTTATAAATATTTTGCATGTGAAATTTTCTGATGCATAAAAGTATTTTTAATGTTGAGATGAAAATTACTTTGCATAATAAATAGGCAAGACGTGAAAAGAAAAAAAAAGGCATGAGAGAAACATTGCTTTATATACCTTAAGACTTAATAAAAAGAATTAGATATTTTGTGTATGAAAGCATTGTTATGTTTACTGATAATCTGCCAAATTTCGTTAACACTCACTTACTAATTTAAAAGCTATAGTATGAAAACTATAACAAGCACAAAATGGTTAAGAGGTCATCACATTGACCAAGCCTGGGTTGAAAGATGTAATAAATAATACTTTTTTTAATTTAATTTCCTTTCTTTTTTCAGATCCAAGAAGTGTGTGTTACCAGTTTCAATTCTTTTTGGTTGTGTAACATTAAAAGTGTGTGCTACACATTTAATTTTTTTATTTCTGTGTCACATAAAGATTGTGTTACTAGTTTTAATTCTTTTGGTTGTATGACAAAGTATCTATGTTTATGTTATTGGTTTTGTTCCTTCTAGCTAAGTAAATGTTCATCACTGAAGATTAAAGGAAGGCCAGTATATGGTATAGAATTTCACTAAGACTATACTCATTAATTTGAAGAAAAACTACATTAGTTGGTTGAACCACACTAAAGTAATACATATTACTTAGGAATAGAATTAATAAAATTCTTTCGTTCATTAGGTGGGATTAAACTTCACTAACGTATTTGCATACTTTGGAGGAATAGTAGGTGTAAGCCTGCTTCCATTAGTGAAATCACTAAAACAGTAAATTTCTTGCAAGTAATTAACAAAAATATCTTTGTACAGGAATTGAAATGTTTCATCAAATCTTAGAAGAATCACGAGCTGGAGATCAGTTAGGAGCTTTAATTCGAGGGATCAAACGTGATGAAGTTCGACGAGGAATGGTACTATGCAAACCAGGATCTGTGAAGGCACATGACCATTTTGAAGCCCAGGTCAGCTTATTCCCTACTTAAGCTGACAAAGAATCATTAATTTAGGTTTTCCTTTACTTATGTAAATTTAAATTAATAGAAAAATAAAGAAAGCTACCTTTTTTATGTTATAGTTGGATACTAATAAATTTTCTCTTAATATTCAAACATGTTATTGACTTGTGTACTTGACTGAATTGTCCTTCAAAGTTCACTAATCTAATCCATTTTGTAGGTTTATATTATAAACAAATGTGAAGGTGTAGTTTAATAATTTCAATAATATATTTTGTAGGTCTATGTTCTAAGCAAAGAAGAAGGAGGTCGACCTAGACCGTTTATGAGCTATTTTCAACCTCAGATGTTTTCAAAAACATGGGATTGTGCTGCACAATTATATATTAAAGGAAAAGAAATGGTGATGCCTGGAGAAGATGCTACGTAAGTGTTACGTATAATTTTGTTAAAGTTGATATTTAGTTAAGGAAATGGTTAGTAGAGAGTAAAAATTCTCGAGTCTTTTCACTAAAAAAAAATACTTAAAAAATGAAGAATTGTTGAGTAAGATAAAATTACTTTGAGAGTGATAATTATAGTTAGAAACTTGTACTTATAGAAGGTCAGTATGTTATATTGAAATGATTTTGGAGCCTCAACAGTTTATGTACCACTTGCAATCGTACTTTGACTACTGTGCATTTTGTCAGCAGTCCTACAACACCGTTTCCATTGCAAAAAGCTTTGTTATAAGGCTGTCATAATCCATGTGGGGTACAAAGATGACAGTTTCTCAGCATCCATTTCAACAGTCTGGTCACACAGAAATCCATACATGCTATGTCTGGTAATTTGACTGGTATGACTTTTATGGAATAACTTGAATACCCATTTCATTCACCAGCTGCTTGAGGTTTATGGTGTAGAACAGATATGTCATGCATGTGACTGGTGTCACTTTTCCAGAAAAGATACTTCTTGATTACGTTTATTGTTGCCTTGGGCACGTGGACAGATTTTTCCATTGGTTTTTGTGTTCATGGATTCTCACCAGTTACAAGATGCTGCATTTTGCTTATCATGGGTAATTCACAATTTGTAGCAGGTTTTTTTTGTGGATAGTCCAACTTGATGTATATTCTTTTGTTTCCACTGCTATTAAGTACAAGGGACACTCCCATCTTGAATATGCTAACTGCATGATCTGAACACATCTTTATGATCTGGGTGTAGGAATATTTACATCGGAAAGGGCTATTACATACCCTTCCCTAAAACATTTGATTCTCAGTGACATCACACAACCTATGAAACACCGAACAATGTCAAAACGTAGTTCTGAAACATTCTGTTCCATCACAACTGTATATTAGCTGGGACTCTCATGCAACTTGTTGATTAGCATATTTTAATATATTGTACTTAACTCTCATTATAATATTAGTGCCGATCAAGGTAAAATTGTGGTAATAATGATTATACAAGACAGGTAACATTTTAGATATATATATATATATAGTGGTGGTCAATATCTGTTAACAATGGTAGTACTAAGCAAGTTAAAATTGGTATCTATTAAGTGATAGTACTAAGTAAGTTAAAATTGGTATCTATTAGGTGATAGTACTAAGTAAGTTAAAATTGGTATCTATTAGGTGATAGTACTAAGTAAGTTAAAATTGGTATCTATTAAGTGATAGTACTAAGTAAGTTAAAATTGGTATCTATTAAGTGATAGTACTAAATAAGTTAAAATTGGTATCTATTAAGTGATAGTTCTAAGCAAGTTAATAAAATTGTGGCTACAGTGGTAATGCAAAGATTAAATTATCAAAGATTGTTGTGAAATAGGTAAATTATTTTTTAATAAGATTAAACTATAATGTTTAAGCAGTTTCCTATGCAACTTAATGAATTCATCAACCAGTAACCTTATTTTACTTTTTGATCTACTTTAAATTTCATAATGAGTAAAACTTGGTTTTTTTTATGCTTGTATTTGTCAGACTTGAACTAAAGCTGTTAAAGCCCATGGTAATGGAACAAGGTCAAAGGTTCACCTTACGAGATGGTCAGGTCACTTTGGGGACTGGTGTTGTAACCAAAGTTCTGACAGACTTAAACCCACAGGAACGTGTAGATTTGGAGAAAGGTCATAAGAAGAAAAAGGACAAAGACAGTGAATAAGAGAGTACTAGTGTGTGTGTGCAAAAAGTAACATAATCCAGGAATTAATGATTTCACCAGTTCTTTACATTTCTCAAAGATGGCCGACTTTAGATTTAAAATCTGCTAAACAATTTTTTGTTATTTACTGAATAACGTTTAATAATTTGAGAAACAAGATTTTGATTACTTTTTATCAATACTGTGGCACAAACATAGGCTAAGATAAACAGGCTGAAAATCTAATAAGAATCAAATATATTTATTCAAACACTTTTATTTATCTCATCTGATAAAGCATAACTTTTTTGGTTACGTGATCAGTAAAATTAACAGTGATGAAGAGAAATTGACGATGTTTTCCATATAAGATACAATACTTCAAAGACGGCATCATCTGACAAGCCTTTGTAAGAAGTAACTATTGCTACCATTATACGAAATATACACTAGCTAGCATTTATTCTACTGAACTGAAACATTGCACAAACAATAACAGTTTTATTAGTCAGTGCACACTTACCCTTATACGGAAAGTGGAATCAGGTTTCTGATATCAATAAATAGGGATTAAATGAAAACACAATGGATAAGACATACTGGAGGTCAGAGGTTAAAAGTATTGTACACAGAAACTTAATCTTCCTTTTTAAACCTGCCCTATTGGTGAACAGTGGAATTGATTTTATGAACCCCATTTAGTTATAGTATATCCAAGGTAGTATCTTATATTATAATCAAAGTAGAATATGTTACTCGTTAACTGAATAAAATTAAACAAGATCTCAAATGCATAAACGTTTCAATATATAAGGTATCGAGACAAAGTTCCAGAAAAGAGAAGATAGACAATTCCACATCCGTTCATTACGTGCTTCTCTGATCACGTTTAAACAACTACGAGTACTTATAGTATATTCAGGATGTATTGCTTAACTTGTGAATTTGAAATGTTCTTTTAAGTCAACAGTATAAAAGTGAAAAGGGGGGAAGGGAACACATTCAGAAATGATAAAGACCAGTATCTCTGAAATAGTTTTTTTTTACTTTATACCCAACTTTGACTGCAGTTAACTTGTATTTACTCACAAAAACTGAAACATGAAACTTTTTAATAGGCTGTGATCTTGAGAGTTGGAACTTGAACTTATATTCTAGAGACTCAAGTAGACGTTTAGGAGTGATAAAATCAGAAATAATACTAATTACTGAAAGAGAGTGGGTAAAAAGAAACATTTAAGGTTTAACAAGATAAACAAAACATACACATCCTGTGGACAGAAAGATTAGGCCTACAGCTTGGTGGTTTGAAATCAGAAGTGCAGTAAAACTAGAAAAGATAACCATTATGAAATTGGATATATGATAAAATACTTGGAAAAATTATTTTTCAGATATCTCGGTAGCATAGCTACCGTAGTATTGGTAGAATGATAGTTCATCCTTTGAAGGAGGATAATCTGGAATATTTGCACAAGTTTCACTAGTATCGTTTATTTGGCACTTTCCTAGCACAATAAATATATCCTTATGTAAACAAAAATAACTTGTAGCATATCATTTTAACAAAATTTTATCTAAAGGATCTTTTAAATTAATTAACAATTCTACAGAATAAGAAGAAAAATGCGAAGTTTGGTAAATGGTTGTAAATTTTGTGTCAACTACTTTTATTTTTAATTCTAGTTTTCCTTTAAACCCTAGTTCTAAGTAGTGAATAATCTTGAATTTATTGTAAATGTAATGGATAGATTTGATATTTAGTTATAATATCCTTTTATGTGTACTAGCCAGTCATTACCCTGATCCACGAGTGTGTACAAGTCAATCATTACCCTAATCAATGAGTGTGTACTAGCCCGTCCATTACCTTGATCCATGAGTGTGTACTAGCCAATCATCACCCTGATCCATGAGTGTGTACTAGCCAATCATTACCTTGATCCATGAGTGTGTACTAGCCAATCATCACCCTGATCCATGAGTGTGTACTAGCCAATAATTACCCTGATCCATGAGTGTGTACTAGCCAATCATTACCTTGATCCATGAGTGTGTACTAGCCAATCATCACCCTGATCCATCAGTGTGCACTAGTCAGTCATTACCCTGATCCACGAGTGTGTACAAGCCAGTCATTTCCCTGATCCACGAGTGTGTACAAGCCAGTCATTTCCACGAGTGTGCACTAGTCAATCATTACCACGATCTACGAGTGTGCACTAGTCAGTCATTACCACGATCCACGAGTGTGCACTAGTCAGTCATTACCCTGATCCACGAGTGTGCACTAGTCAGTCATTACCCTGATCCATCAGTGT